TCTTCATATGTTTGTTGGCTGCCTGGATCTCCTTGGTGAAGTGTCTGTTCATGTCCTGTGCCCATTTTTTAATTGGGTTATTTGTCTTTTTCTTATAGAGGTGTTGTAGTTTCCTTTATATTTTAGAAATGAGTCCTTTTCTGATGTGTCATTGCAAAAGATTTTTTTCTCGTTCTGTGGGTTCCCTTTTTACTCTTCTGGTGAAGTCTTTTGATGTGCATAAGTAGACTTATTTTTTAGATTCCAAATGGGTGTTACTTTTGAGTCTCTCATTTGTGGACTCAGTAAGCTGAATACTAGTGTAAAGTGGCTTTCTTTGTGTCATAGATGTGGTTTAATGGCAAACCAGAGCCAGAACCCTACTTCAGCCTTCTCAGTGTATTGTTCTTTTTAGCGTACTGCTAATACGAATAAAGGAAGGGATCATGTGGATGGGGCTATTTCGACCAGACAGATTCTAGTACCATTGTTGTTGACTTTTTTGTAAGTAAGCATGCTTTCTATTCCTTTCTGGGTATTAGAGAGAAGTTTTGGAAAATTGGAAACAAGGAAAGAGATGGAGAATATGGAGCTTGTTTCTTCCCTAGAAGATGCTCTGGGGGCCAGCAGTCTCTGATCTACTGTGCTCGCCCTGGCTCCAGGATGTGGGAAGTGAACTTTGATGGGGATGTTATAAGTACACATCAGTTCAAGAATCTCCTCGCTTCACCACCTCTCCCTGTGATTAATCTAAGGTAATAATTTTTATATGATTGGTTGGGATTATTTGAGGAACTTATCGAAGAGGTTCTGTTTAAATCACTGGCATTATATATGTGTTAAATATTTTATTATGCCTTTTAAGAGTGAAATTGAATTTTTATTAAATGATTCAGATATAAAGTTTTTAATTAATTACCCTTCATATGAATAGAGTGAATTGGATAAGGGCAGATGCAGTTAGGCCCTTGAGGTTTTTTATGGGCTGAACTTTTTACCTAATGGAGTAAAGGCGATTTATGTTATGATTAAATCATTCACTGAGTTGCTTACTTTCCTAGATCAGAACCCCAGTATGATCAGACGGTTGGATCCTCCCAGTCTTTGTCTTTCCCCAAACTCTTGCATCTTAGGTAAGTTTTTCCCTGTGAGCCTTTAAAAAAAAAAAGAATAACATAATTAGAACATTTCTACACATACAATGTGCGTGTTATGCCAACACTAAGTTAGAAATGATTGTATTATAAAAGGTATTCTGCATAGAGGATGAATAAAAAGAATCCTTGGAATGTGTTCTAAACTGACCTTAGCCAATTGGAAATATCAAATTGTCAGGAAGCTTTCGGCAGTTGGAGGTAAGAACTACAGATGCTCCTTCCCTCATAAGCTACCCTGTCTGGTGGGATGATACAGTGAAAGCAAATCAGATTGAGATCTGCCATAGTATATTTATTGGCGCTGTGGTAGCGTAGTGGTTACGAATCAGGCTGCGAAACTTAAGGTCAGCCGTTTGAAACTACCAGCCACTCCATGGGAGAAAGATGAGGCTTTCTGCTCCCATAAAGATTTATAGCATCGGAAACCCTGTACAGGGTTGCTGTGAGTCGGAATCAACCCAAGGCACATAACAATAACATAGTATATTTATTAGCAAGGAGGCAAAACATAGTTGTGTAACTTAATCTTGTTAGCTGGTAAAGTTTCAGCTTTGCTTTCTATAGCTACTATGATGGTACCTTGCATGAAAAATATACTAAAGGCAGATTTCACTGTATTCTAGCATCAGGGTTCTGCTGACCTTTAAGTTGAATTAGATGCTGAAATCTTATATTAAGTAATAGGACAGATAAAGACACTCAACTGCTGGGTTTGTTAATTCAAAACATCTTATTCTACAAGGGTGAGTTTGCCTATGTAGCCCATTTATGTTTATATATATATACACACACACAGAGTGAGTCCTGGTGGTGTGGCACTATAGGATAAGCACAGGACTGTTCATTGCAAGGTTAGTTCATGTCCATATTTGAAAGCTCATAACCTCAGGGATTCTACCAGTCTCTATCAGATCAGTAAGTCTGCTCCTTTTTATGATTTTGAATTTTGCTCTACTTTTTTCTCCCCGTCTGTCTTGGGCCTTCTATTGTCATCCCAGTCAGAAAGTTCCTACATGGTACAATCTATATAGCTTGAACTGTACTTATTTCATCAAAGAAAAATTACATTTGATGTCCCTTTGGCTAGTTCATAAGCTCTCTAATACAGATTCAGAGGGTGTTGTAGGATAGCCTGGAGTGTAGAAAAACCAGCTAACTGCTCCTGGAATGTAAAATTTTTAATACACTTGAAATGCTAACTAATTTACATATGCATCACACTGTATATATTGAAGTATTTAAAAGTAAATCACAGACAATATAACACTTTTATCAATTTGTAATTCATCAATGTTAATGGAGAAAGACAGCTAATTATTTGTCCATAATTTGATAAGGCATATAATTGCTTAAAACCCTCCTTCCCTTAGCACTCTTCCTTTATAGCCCTTAGCACCATTTATAATTCTATATTCATACACTATTTATACCTGTCTTATCCCTAGACAATAAACTCCATGAGAACAGAGATCATGTCTGTTTTAGACTCTGTTGTATTCTCAGGGCTTAGCATACTGCCTGACACATGTTGTTGTTTGTTGTTGGTAAGTGCCATCCAGTCAGTTCTGATTCATAGAGACCCTGTTTGGGTTTCCAAGGAGCAAGCAGCTGGTCGGTTTGAACCACCAACCTTGACTAGCACGATAAGACACTGGACTTACTACTTCTCGACTATGGTGTCATATGGTGAGTGGGGCAGGGGGAATCCCTTACCCCAGGGTGTGTTTTCAAATGGATGGCTATGATCTGCTTAGTTCTCCTGGTGGTGTCACTCCTTTGAGTTTAGCTATTTAAAGTTCCTGTTACAGTCTCTGCCCTGGAAAACAAAGCCCTTCATGATCTGGCTCTGCCTGCTTCTTAGCTTCAGCAATAATTAATGTCACTTTGAAGTCTTTGCCAACTCCTCTAGGAGACCTAGCTATTTGTTCCCATGTACTGTTGTACCTTGTTCATTTTGTCTGACTGTACTATGACCATCTGTCCCAGTATGAGGTTGTAAACTCCTTTTGTTTGGACACAGTGCCAGACACAAAGAAGACTCTAACCTATTAGCAAAAGTGATGAGTTCAACAAAGATCTTTTTTAAAAGAAAGCACAAGTAGAGGGACATTAGTTACTGGTAATTTGCTTATTATTAGTAGTGTTTCTTACTTGATATACTTGTGTCCTGTGGTAACCTTGACTGTAGCTACCTCCAGATTCTATAAGAGACATCATGTATATTTTGTTTCTGTTTGGGTACACTGGTAACCATTTTCCTTTCTTGACTTTTTAAATAGTGCTGTTTGGCTTGTGTCTCAGTCTGTTTATCAGTGAGGGATAAAGGAACGAAGGATGTATATACATATCAGCTCTTACTTAAGATTTCACCCCCATTTCATCTAGATTGCTACTCTTAAGGAATTCTACTAAGTTCCATATCAACTTCAGTTCCAAAGTCATGGTCCTGTGTTGCTATACTCAGAGAACCATTGACACCTCGTGACTTTTCTCCTGTGGCTCCTGAAGGGAGCCCTCCCAGTTCCACTCTCTTTATGCTAGGATTCTGACCTTCTCTTACAGTTTGCTGATAAGGATTATTTTCTTGTAGGGACAGTGGATTGCTCTTGCATATCGACAAAATGCATGATATTTTCTTGATGACCCAATTCTGTTATTTATCAGTTAGTTTTATAGCCACTTGGTGCCAATCTTAACACTCTTGGGGACATGAAAAACAAAAACAACAAAAAACTTGGTCTAAAGGTTATAATTTTTTTAAGGAAGATAGAGTTTATAACTATAAAAATATGTAACAATAGATATGCGTGTGACAATGCAATCTAATTGTCAGCTGAGTAGTGTTGACTAGAAACAGGCCAAGTGCAGGGAAGGAGAGCTTCTCATGCTCTGTGGGGAGAATTTCAGAGGAGAGTAAAACTTCTGCTGATCTTTGAGAGGCGGCTAATGGAGAACAGTGCAAGTTGGGGAGTGCCCTGATCAGGGGAGATTGCCAGTGACATATTCAGGGAGCAAATCATGGTTTTGTGAAGCAGCATGAGATGAGGTGGGAGATTAGACTAAAGCTGTGATGACAAAGACAACTTTCAATTCAAGTTTGAGGACATTGGATTAGGAAGCTGTCAGAGTGGAAGTGTGATTTTGATGTACCAACTCTTTCACTATGGAGTATTTGAAGGGGAGAAAACAGGTACGAGGAGGTAGAAGTAATGAGGGCTTATGGGGTCTATGGACAATGGGAATAAAAAGGAAGAGACTTTAAGGAATGACTAGATATGGAAAAAAGAGCAAGTAGGGAATCTGTTGGAAACTTTCTGAAGAGCAGTTTGAAAGATCAGCCACTATTTGGAGTGATCTTTGGTTTTTAGTTTAAAGTGCTCATGAGATATCCAGATAGGAAATACATAGAAGGGGCACACATGGATGTTGAGGAAGTTCAGATGACAGCATCTGACAGTTTGCTAAATACAGGTGTTAGTAGCAGTCCTGAGAGATAAATGAGATATATGAAGGAAGGAGTAAAGAAGGAGATGAACAGAGAAGAACTGGAGATGGAAGGTAGAAAACAAGAAAGCTCAAGGTCCCAGAGTCTAGGGAGGCAAAATTCAGGAAGGAAGTAACGACCATCAGGGTCAGCCCCTGTATGGGGAACAAGCAGAAAGGAAATAGGGGAGAGGGTTATTGGTTTGGCAGGAACTTTTTGAAAGTGCAGTTTAGTAGAAAAATCAGGGTTTCAGATAAAAGTGGGTTGGTTGATGAGGATAAATGAGGAAAGAAGTAGATTCTGTGACATACAGAGGAGGAAATTCAGGTTTTGGAGCCAGATTGCCCTTGGTAAAATTTTGACTCTTTTACATTCATGCTGAATGGTTTGGGGCATGTTACTTACTCTCTCTGAGCTTCAGTTTCCTTTTTTTTTTTAAATAAGATATAATTCATACTTACCTTGATGATGAAGTCCTGGTGCGGTGCTGTTAGAATAAGTACTCGACTTCAAGGTCTATTTGAATAGCTAGGTCTGCAGTTCAGACTCACCAGCTGTTCCTTACAAGTTGATTCTGACTCATAGAGACCCGGTGTAGATTTCCAAGGCTTTAAATCTTCTTCAGAGCAGGAAACCTCATCTTTTTCCTGTGGCGCAGCTGCAGAGCAGGAACCACGGACCTTGTGATTTGGCATCCCAGTGCTTTATCATACGGAGTCACCATGCTCCCTAGTTTAGGTAGAGCCCTTAATAAAGTTCTTGGTATATAACTCATGGAGTCATAATATTACCATCGCTAAACGCTTACTGGAGTCCTAGTGTGGTGCTGTGGGCTAATGTGTCAGACTGCAAAATCATTTGAACTGCAAGGTTGGTGGTTCAAGCTCACCAGCTGCTCCTTGAAAACCCTATCTATACAGGGTCACTATGAGTTGGAATCGACTTGATGGCACTTAACAACAATAACAAATACTTACTAGAGCCGTGATTTCCAGTGGGGTGGTGGTAAGATGCTGTTAATAAGTCTTTGTCTAAATATGCCCTTGTCATACCAAATCTGGGAAGTTTATCTACTCTAACAGACATCAGATAAGTTATCCTTAAGCATTTTCTTTGTTTTTAAATGATATTTAGTAGGTGTCTGATTTTTCTTACTTTAGGATCAGTTTATGCTTTTTTTTAAAAAAAAAATTGTGAACTGAGTGATAGTTTACATGGGAGAGCATCAGCTGTACACCAGCGTTTCATTGCAATGACTACAATACCCTCTGTGCATCATCATTCAACAGTATTTGCTTCCATTCCCTCTGTTCTTCCTTTTTTGGGGGTGGGGTGTGGAGATGTACACAAATGAACTCAGGAATATATAATAATTTAAATCACAAAGTGCATGTACTGCAAGCCTGCCTCCTGGCTGCCAACACTCATTCCCTCTCTTTCTGTAAGTCTACAGTCCTCAACTGCTCCCTTTCTCTGTGTCGTCATTTCTGCCTCCATTTCTGGTGTCACTGCTTTGCTGGATAGGGTCTTGTATTCCACTTGTGCTCTTCTCCCTTGATGGCTCTAGGGTCCTCTGTTTCTGGACTGTAAGATTAACTACTCCCCCCTTTTTGTTACAAAACTTCTACCTTTACAGTTGTGACAGTCGCAATTAGTCACGATATAAGTTACTCACTATTGAATCATAGGAATCTTAATCCCATCTCTTTTCACCAGACCCATCGAGACAAGATGAAAACTATTCAGTGGGGACTCTGTCTTCCCCCACATACTCTTAAACTAAACTCCCTCTTGAAAACTTGTAAGCCAGTCACTTCATGCCTTATTAATCCTATGCTATTTTTTTAGTGAGTTGTTATAGACAGAAAAATCATGTTAGGACTTGATTAACTGAATCACTGTTGTATTTGTTTTGTTTGTGTAGTATGATTTTACTTTAATAACTAATACAAGGATCTAATAGGAAATTATATCATAAACTTCTTTGTTGTAGCAGCCTAATTCTCATGGGTTCTTCTATCTTCTCTTTCAGTGAGCATTGTGTGCTGTCTTGGACAGACAGAGGAATTTACATTTTCCTTCCTCAGAATGTTCAAGTTCTCCTTTGGAGTGAAGTCAAAGGTAATTATATTTTCCTACCTTTATATCAGCAACAACCTTTATATAATTTTTAATCTCATGCTTGTAAAAGACTTTATTATTGTAGGAAGATTCTCTTGTGGGGTAACTTCCCAAGTGTACATTTGTGAAGTTGTATTCACCAGTCTTATTTATTTAAATAAAAATATTTTATTGTGTTAGTGAACATAGTATTTGGCTGTGTAAGATAAGTACTGTACTGCTAACCCTAAGAACAGCAGTTCAAACCCACCAGCAATTCCTTGGAAACCCTATATAGAGTTGCTCTGAGTTGAAACTGACTCCATGGCACTCAACAACAAGAAAATCTTACTTATTTAAACAGAAGTATTTTATTGTGTTTGTGAACGTTTATATAGAAAATTGAATTCCTGTTTAACAATTCTACAGTTTGTTCAGTGTCATTGGTTACGTTTTTCATAGAAAGTATCAACTTTCTCATTATTTCCATTCTAGTTGTTCCATTTCTAATGATCTAGTTTCCCTGCCCCTTTTCCTTCTCATCTTTACTTTTGAGTAAATGTTGACTATTTGATCTCCTATAGGTGATCTTTTTTTTTTTTTTCCCCTCCCCTTCTTGTGTATTGCCCTCCCTAGCACCCAAACTGTCCTGTGTCTATTCCCTACCATGTGCTCCACCTTCCCCTCCCTCTGCTCCCCCAACCCCCAAAATCCTGGTAACCAGCAAAGAATCCCCCTCCCCCCACCTTTAGTATGGGTTCTTTTTCTTAATTTTTTACAGTAGTGGTCCTATGCAGTATTTCTCTATAGGTGATCTTTTAAATGAGCAAAATATTCACAGATATTTTATGAGCCAGTCTGTTATTTAGCTAAATGATGAACTCATGGAATGATTTTAGTTCAGGTTTAAAGATGACCTCTGGGAAATAATTTTCGCTCAGTAATTTTTCATGGATAATTTAAAATAACTATTGTTGTTGTTAAGTGCGGTTGAATTGATTCCGAACCATAGTGACCCTGTATAGGGTTTCCAAGGAGCAGCTGGTAAGCTTGAACCACTGACCTTGAAGTTCAAGTGACTTTGCAGTCTGACTCATTAGCCCACAGTGCCAAACCAGGACTCCAATTTTAAATACTAGGGGGCTTCAAAAACTTTGTGGGAAAATTCTTTTTTGGCATTTTATTGTGAATTGAGTAATTGAGTGAAGGTTTAAAGAGAAAATCATCAGTTTTACATTCAACAAACCATACACTTCGTTTCATTTCAATGATTGCAGTCCTCTTCATGTAACATCAATTATTTCACTTCCTCTGTGGGATTCTTATTTCTAGTTACTTCTCCTTCCCAACCTTTCTGAACTTTGTCCTAGGTAAATGCTGCCCCTTTGATCTAGAATAGTTGACCATTGCATGGACAGTGTACCTTTTTAGTATTGTCCTCCCTATATACCTATCTACCACTTGAAAATTGAGCCATGAGGGTGAGTTCAATTCCAGACCTGAAAGGTGACCAAGGGCTATAGTCACTGGCCCTCCAATCACTTTCTGACCAGAAAGCCTGGTGTGTTTGTTTTTTAATGATTTTGACTTTGGTTTCACATTTTTTCCCACTGTTTCTGGGACCTTCTAATGTGATTCCTTTCAGTACATCCATTATCTTTAATTCCATTTTTCATGAACTGTTTGAAACCCCTCATATTTCGTTTTCATTTACTATTAAATTTTAGTAATCATTGCTAAGGATTTTATGGGTTATACCACCACCAGGCTACCACCAATTCCATTCTTACCCTAATTCTTTATTTCTGTTAGGAGTCATGCTTTAACTCCCATTTTATGTCTTAGTAGTTTGGGGATTACATCACCTGTCTGCCAGTTTGTTGTACTGTAGTGGTTTATGCATTGCTGTGATGCTGGAAGCTATGCCACCAGAATTTTAAGTACCAACAGGGTCACCCATGGCAGACAGGATTCAGCAGTGCTTCCACACTAAAATAGACTAGGAAGAAGGAGAGGCAGATCACTTTTGAATGGTTATCCCCTGAAAACCTTAGGAATGGCAGTGAAACATTGTCAGATATAGTGCCAGAAGATGAGCCCCTCAGGTTGGAAGGCATTCAAAATACAACTAGAGAAAAGCTGCCTCCTCATAGTAGTTGTTGTTGTTGTTAGGTGCCATCGAGTCAGTACTGACCCATAGCAACCCTTTGCACAGCAGAACGAAACACTGCCTGATCCTGGACCAACCTCACTACTGTTGCCACACTTGAGTTCATTGATGCTGCCACTTGGCAAATCCATCTCGTTTGAGGGTCTTCCTCTTTTTCTCTGACCCTCCACCTTACCAAACATGATAGTAGAGTTGACCATAATGACGTGAATGGAGCAAAACTTTTTTCTGAACCTTCATTTGCTGATGGGGTACAACTCAAAATGAGAAGAAACAGCTGCAAACATTTATTATTAATTGGAATGTGAAATGTCTGAAGTATAAATCTAGGAATATTGGAAGTTGTCAAAAATGAAATGGAACAAACAAAGATTTATATCCTAGCCATTAGTGAGGTTGGTGGTTCAAGTTCTCCAGCTGCTCCATGGAAATCCTATACAGGGTCTCTATGGGTCAGAATTGACTCGACGACACTTAACAACAACAACAACATTAGAGAGAGAGCTATGGAAATGGACAGTTATTGGCCATTTTGAATCAGACAGTTGTATGGTTTATTAGGCTAGGAATGACAAATTGAAGAGGAATAGTGTCACATTCATCATCAGAAAGGGCATCATCAAGATCTGTCTTAAAGTACAGTGCTATTTGTGATAGAGTAATATGTATACACTTCCAAGGAAGACCAGTTATACCACTATTATTCAAATTTAGGCACCAGCCACTAACTCCATTGATGATGAAACTCAGGAATTCTGATAACTCTGGTAGCATAGTGGTTACGAATTGGGCTGTGAACCTTAAGGCCAGAAGTTCGAAACTACCAGCCGCTCTGTGAGAGAAAGATGAGGTGTTCTGCTCCCATAAAGATTTACAGCCTCAGAAACTCTGTGCAGGGTCGCTGTGGGTTAGAACTGACTCTACGACACTTAACAACAACAACAACAACCAGCTTCTTCACTCTGAAGTTGATCAAACATGCAACTGAGCTGTATTGATAATTTCTGGTGATTGGGATGGGGAAATTGGAAATGAAGAGGAAGGATCAGTAGTTGGGAAATATGGCCTTGGTGAGAATAACTTACTAGTGTTGTTCAGTGTCAACAGAGACTGAAACTTTCTCTTGAGTGTAGAGAAGCTAACTCAATTTAAATGATGAAGTAAAAGACCTGTTTGGAAATTTCAAAGGGCTTCTCAAGAAGACAAAATAAATATTATAATAAAAAGTATGAAGACCTGGACTTAGAAAGTTGAAAAGGAGGAACAAGCTCAGCATTTCTCAAGCGGAAAGAACTGAAGAAAAAATTCAAGCCTCAACTTTGAATATTGAAGAATTCTATGGCCAGATTTTGAATGGCACAGGAAATACCAAAAGAAGATAGAATAATTCACGTAATTGCTGTACCAAAAATAATTAGCCAATATTCAGCCATTTCAGAGAGCTACCATGTGATCAAGAAGCTATGATACTGAGGGAAGAGTTTCAAGCTGCACTAAAGGCATTGGCAAAAAAACAAACCTCTTTCAAGCTCTTATATATTTGTGGGATGTATAAATTAGGTATATATCCCACTCTTCTTCCCTTACCATTCAGCCCATGTCTCAATCCACGTATCTACACACAAAATACTGTTGTTCCAAAGTTGTGTATAGATCACTATTTACGTCTCTCCCCTTTAGCCCGTGCATACTTCCCTGAGTCTTCACCCATCTTCATCATTTTGCCACCTCCTTCATCTTGTATATTGCCCTCCCCGTCTCCCAAGCTAACGTGTATCTAGCCAGTAAATTATTCTCTTCTCCCTTCCACCCCTGGTAACCATCAGAGAATGTTTCTTTTAGCATGAAAACTTAAGGTTTTACAATAATGGTCTCATACAGTATTTGTCCTTTAGTGATTAACTAATTTCACTCAGCATAATGTCCTGCAGGTTTATCCATGTTATGAGATGTTTCATAGATTCATCATTAACCTTCAGCATTACATAGTATTCCATTGTGTGTATGTACCAAAATTTGTTTATCCATTCTTCTATTGATTGATGGACACAGGCTGTCTCCATCTTTTTGCTATTGTGACTAGTACTGCTATGAACATTGGTGTTAAACATAAGATTTTAAACCAGATTGATGTGATTCTTTTTTCATATCCTTTATTCTTGATCTTTTAGAATAGTAAATGTCTGAAATATTACTTCTTTGTGTCTAAAGTATTTGTTGAAATGCAAATATAAAAATAGAGATGACATTCAATCAAGGCATATGCTATTTAAGAAGTGAATTATTAGACTAACAGGTCAGTGGTTCAAGCTCACCAGCTGCTCCTCGAAAACACTATTGCAGGTTCACTATGGGTCGGAATCGACTCGACAGCACTTAACAACAAAAAAAATGGGAAAGGATGACCAACAGGAAAAATACAAAACAATAATGGCAGTCCGATGGACTACAATAAGAACAATCAAGTCGCTCGCCTAGGAGACATCAAGGCAAGCGGTCAGGTCTCCTCAGGACAAACCCCCTTCCAATACCAAGACTCCGTGGGAATACATGAACAGACATAGACATGTGCTCTGACTGTTGGACACCGATATAGGGAAGTGAGGGAAAAACAGCATTGAAGCTGCAAGCTAAGTCCTACCACATTCAATAGATTCCTGTGAACCCCGGTGGAGACCTGGTCGGCCAGCAGTGTGGCAAGACCTGGGGGACTCCTGGGCCCAGAGTCAGTGACATAGCCACAGAGGACTAGAGTGGAGAATGAAGCTTCTAGCTGATAAGAAGAGAGGGCATATGCACAAGAATACCCACATTTGCAGATAATACCCACTTGACCTGGCTTCAATGGCTGAATGATCAGAGCTCAACTAGAAGAAGAAAGAAGAGGAAAAAAAGAGTAATCTGATACAATTTGGTGAATTTGACCTATGCCTATGGATGCAGTAGCTCAAAAGAGGGAACAGATCTTTACAGCAAGGATCATTCCCACCCCCTCGATACACAGGGTAGATAGGGATCGACAACTTGGACATTGGCTACCCAAAATGGGGGAGCTACACAGGCAAGCAGTAACTGGTTTACAAGATTTCAAGAGGGAGTCCTAGATCCAGAGGGCGCGGAGGAAGGTAGAGTCTCCACTGAGTGGTATCCAATCTGTGTGGGTGAGAATGATGAAAGGAGATGAAGATAGCACTCATGTGGTACAATAGTGAATAATTAATATCAGGATTGACTGTGAGGGTTAGAAATGTAAACGTAACAAAACGTTTTGTAGCAAAAGGAGGGGAGTGATTGACTTTGCAGTCTAGGAGTGGAGGTCCCTGAGACCATCAAGGGAGAAGAGCGGAGTGCAAGACCCTACCCAGAGGAACAGTGACATCAGAGATGGAGGCAGAGATGATGACGTGGAGAGATGGAGCAATTAGACCCAGAGATAGAGGGGCTTTGTGCTGTTGACCAGGGGGCAGGCTTGCAGGGTATACCCCTTGGTTGGATGATGATGCATGGAGGGGATTGTAACCATGACAGTGCAACAATATATGATAGGATGAATGTAAAACTAATGTTCTCCCATGTAAACTATCATAAGTCACAATAAAACATTTTTTAAAAAGAATTATAAAAAGAGTAGAATACACAGAGACACACACAGAGAGAGGGAAGACAGACGCCATGTGAGAACCTTTCTAGGAGCAAAAGAATGCCAAACATGATCAGAGACACCAGAAACTAAGAGATGGATCCACAGAAAGAATCAGCATGGCCAAGATCATGATCCTGAGAAAATGCATTTTTGTTCTCTGAAGCCATGTCTCTGTCAAGGCAGCACTTGGAAACTAAGACAGTGCCTCTCCTCAGACTTCTGCTCAGGCTGGTCATCCCCTCTAGAGTCTGTCCCTCTCTGCTGGCCACACAGATGCTGCCTGCATTGGCTGACCATGTTGCCAACACTCCACTTAAGCCTCTGTCTACTTCTGTGACCTCCCCACCTTTCCAACTAGCTCACTCGCCTGGTCACAATGACCTGTCAACCCTCAAATGCCCTTTGGAGTGTGTGCTTTCTCCTCCCCACCACCTGCTCCTCACTGGATCTCTGGCTATGGTCTCTGTAAAAGGAAGGAAATAGCTTCTCTTTTCCTTGTTAAGCTCTTGTAGAATGTCTTACAACAGAGTTTCTGAGTTCCTACAGGTATAATTCTTTCATATATTGCAACCTACAGGCCCAGACAATGGGTCTGGGAGAGTTTACATTGTATTTTGAACATTCTTCCCTCTTCTAATTCAGAGTTTGACTGTAGTGTAGCCAATCACAGCAAACTCCCTTCTCCAGTATAAAGATTTTTATTTCAGAGGCCCCAGTGTGCTTCCCGCTAATCTGACTTCCCTAAGCACATCTTCTAGACGACTGAACCCCAAATATGGTCAGAGACTGTGATAGTAAGGTTTGTGTCAACTTGTCTGGGCCAGGATTCTCAGGGGGTTAGCAGTTAATATGTAATTATAATCTCCATGATGAGATCTAATAGCATGCAATCACCCCCATGAGATGATCAGAAGTGATTATACCTAGTGTTGTAAATCCTCACTTCTGTGATGTTAATTAGGTCATATGCAATCTACAGATTAGGTTGTATCTTAAATTAATCTCTTGTTATATAAAAGGATAGAGAAGTAAGCAGAGAAAGAGGAATCTGCTACCACCAAGAAAGAAGAACCAGGAGTGGAGTGTGTCCTTTGACCCTGGGGGTTCCTGCCCTGTGAAGCTCCTAAATATAGGAGAAACTTGATGGATGGCCAGGATACATGGAGATATCCAAGGATTTTTAAAAAAGGGGGAGGGGGAGAAGGATGATTGGATTAACATTCTTCATGTTCACTTCTATGGTTTTTGTAGGTATTCAGGATGTGGCTGTCTGCAAGAATGAGCTGTTCTGTTTGCACCTAAATGGGAAAGTGTCACATCTGTCCCTGGTATCTGTGGAACGCTGTGTGGAACGCCTGTTAAGGAGAGGCCTATGGAACCTGGCTGCCCGTACTTGCTGTCTTTTCCAAAATTCTGTCATTGCTTGTAGAGTAAGTCAGAGAGCTTACTTAGATGTGTTTATCACAAGTTATTGACACCATTCTGCCTTGCAAGATTGTCTAATAAAATTGCTTGTGTATTACTAGTACCCCCCCCACCCCCCATATGACCTACAGCAGATAAAGCAGTAATAAATTCTCAAAGAAAAATGACAGAAATCGTTTTAGGGTTGAGTAAGAGGAGAGTATGCTTTCCATTTTTAAAAAGAATATAAAATATATCAGACCTTATCTTAAGGGAGATTATTACACATATGTGTATGGTTACTTTTAATTAAATTTTTAATTCCTAGAGCTATGGGTCGAAACTGACTAGATGGCACTTCACAACAGCAACATTCTCATTAGGAGTCCTGGTATGGTGCCATAGGATAAGAAGTCGAATTCAAGGTCAGTTTGAACTGCAAGGTCAGTGGTTCAAACTCACCAGCCTCTCCTCAGAAACCCTGTACAGGGTCACTTTGAGTTGGACCCAGTGCGAGGATACTTAACAACAAGAAAAAACAAGGTCTTATTATGCCTTTCACCAACCCATTAGACTTTTTAAAATCACGCTTGAGGTTTCTTTTTTTTTTTTTAATAGACCTTTTTCAATGTATTAGCCATTGAGTATAGATTAAGTGGCAGACAAGAAGCTGTTGATTCCCTTATTAACAGTACTGGTGAATGTTTACTTGTCCTTTTATTAGGCAAGAAAAACTTTGACTGTAGATAAACTGGAACATTTGAAATCTCAGCTGGACCTCTCAAGCTACAGTGATCTAATTTCTCAATTGGAAGAACTGATCTTAAAATTTGAACCTTTAGATTCAGCCTGCAGCAGTCGAAGAAGCTCCATTTCATCACATGTAGGTATTCTCTGCTTTTAAAAGCTTTTTGCTTCAAAGTAAAGCTGATGATCTTGTCTGTTAACCCTCACTCAATTCACAATAAAAAATTTAAAAAAAAAAAAGGTTAAGATTTTTCCACTTTAGATTGTTACTCACTTACCTCCCGAAGCTCCAAACCAAACCCACTGCTGCTGAGTCAGTTCTCACTCCTAGTGACCCTAATGGACAGAGTACAATGTTGCCCCATAGGTTTTGCCAGGCTGTAAACCTTTACAGAAACAGACTAGCACATCTTTGTCCTATAGAGTTGCTGGTTGGTTTGAAAAACTGACAGTTAGCAGCTGAGTCCTAGGGCTCTTCGCTTGCCTACAAGAGCCTCAAATTGTGTTCCTTTCTATGTAATAGATTTGGAGGGGCGGGCTTTCTTTTTTTTTTTTTTTTCTGTAAGTTTGTATTGTGAACTGAGTGATAGTTTACATGGGAGAACATCAGTTTTATACTATCGTTTCATTGCAATGATTACAATCTCCGTGTGTTGTCATTCAACAGTATTTCCTTCCATTCCCTGTTTGTTTGGGGTTTTTTTGGCTGGAGGCATGGCATGTACACAGAAACACTCAGAAATATATAATAATTTAAACAACCAAAGGGCACATTCTGCAATCTTGCCTTCTGGCCGCCAGCACCCAGTCCCTCTCTTCCCATGAATCTAGAGTCCTCAGCTGCTCCCTCTCTCCATGTCCTTATCTCTACCTCCATCTCTGGTGTCACTGTTTCTGTCGATAAGGCCCCGCACTGTGCTTGTGTTCTTCTTTCTTGATGGTCCTAGGGTCCTCTCTTTCTGAATTGTAAGATTAACTATTCTGGGGGCTTTCTTTTAACTGTTGGACAGCTATATAGAATCTCTAGCTGGATGTATCTTGGACCCTTTGTTTTTTTTGTAATTGTTAAATTATTTCCTGTTCCCAAATGCATTTGAGACATCATATGACTGCCGGCATAAGTTAGGTTGCTCCTAATATCCAATTTCAGATGCTTTGTGCTAATATGAGTGAGTCTGAGTACAACTCCTGTTTTGTCAGGCTTTCTGTAGACAATGTCACTAGCAAATCTGAGTGGCCCAGCTGTCAGCAATCAATACCTTTCGCACTAGTTTGATGTAATAGTCATAATTGTTGCTATTAACTTTCTGTTTTGCTGTTGGTATTTCTCTTAAAAGGCTATATTGTGTATTGTTATGTAAATATGCCCTCACTTTGAAAAGATTGAGTCAACCCCTACTTGTAACAAATTCACATGTTGCACATGTAGCTTTTAAACCATTGAAGGGTCTTATAGAGCCTTTTATTACACAAACTCAGCCCAACCCAGTCCAACACACTGCCATGGAACTGAGTCTGATCTGAGTCTGACTCATATCAGCCCTGTGGGACCGAGTAGGACTGCACCATAGGCCTTCCAAAGCTGTCAATCTTTGTGGAAGCAGGCTGTTGCATCTTTTCCCTCTGAATTATTGGTGAGTCCAAACAGCTGTCCTGAGGCTAACAGCCATATGCTTTACCCATGGTGCCACCAGGGCTCCTTGACTTTTACTAAAGTAAGACTGAATAGGAACCATATGTACCTGTTCCAACCTACCTACACATTTGACTGAAAGACATTTAGAAATGGATCTCATTCATAACCTGAGGACCGACTATAAAGGAAAACTTTACTTTGACGTCTTGGAATTCTTTTTATTTTTAGGAAAGTTTCAGCATCTTGGACTCTGGAATTTATCGTATCATCAGTAGTAGAAGAGGCAGCCAGTCAGATGAAGACTCTTGTTCCCTTCACAGCCAAACCCTCTCAGAAGATGAGAGACTTAAAGAATTCACCTCACATCAGGAGGAGGGTCAGCAAGAGCAGTGTTGTGGCTCCCACGGGAATGAAGGTGATGAACATCTTTTGTTGGTTTCTGATGTGAGGCGGTTATTTCTTATGACTTTGGCTGTTAATGGAGTTTTTTTATAAGGTGTCAGTAATTTTAGCTCTTTATTTGATAAGACTTTTTATCCTGACCCTATAAATCTGCCCATCACTAGAAGAGTAGACTTGTTTGTAGTTGTTTTCCCCTCCTCATGTTTATACTAACACTGGTAAAGTACTTCATTTCTGTCATGCATCAAAGTACTTGAAAAAGTACCAAGAGTAGAAAGATTTTTATTCTGACTAACAAAATTATTTTCCATCAGGAATGAAAAATTACTACAGTTTTGGGGGCCATTGCCTTCACTTTTTGATGTTCAAGTTTTCCTGTGACCGAACTATTAAGAAGAGATTAATAGAGACTCTAAACTTCTTTTGACTTATGGGGATTAAGGGTTAGTAGGAGAATGAAGGTACCTGCTTAAGTGTTTTCTGTGTGGACCATTCTGTGCATCTTGTAAACCTGTGTTCTGCTCATTTGTATCTGAGTCAGTTGTGATTTGAGTATCAAATCCTTCATTTCCTTTGATTTATTCATTTCTGAATTTTCGTAAAAATTGACTTTCATGGGATTGTATTTTGTTTCTTTTTCCTTTGATTCCATTCATTAGAAGATGTTTCTCATGTTTCAGTGACGTTTGAGGCAGATAAGAATGAAACTCTCCTCCCCTTCGGCATCCCATTATCATTTCGTTCTCCATCTCCTCTCGTGTCTCTTCAAGCTGTTAAGAAAAGGTAACCAATTGGTCTTGTGGTTTAATTCCATTTCTGGTTTCACTTCAGTTGTCTCATTATGTTCTTTGTGCTGAAAATGGAAAGACATTTTAAATGAGAAAAATAAGTTTTCTAGATTATTTCTTTTCTAAGAACTATTAAGTTGTCATTTTAATCTCAAGGAATTTATCTTTCTTCTTTGTTTTAATTACTGAATATTTGAGTTGATATAAACGTGTTTTTCCCTCAGGCAGAAGAGCAAAAGTTTAAAAATCAGTTTTTTTTCTCATCTTTCATAGAAATAGTTTCCATAAATCACTCATTTCCATAGGTCACTTCTTGGTCTTTTCTCAGCTTGGAGTCAGAACTGAAGACTTTTTGGAACTCTTTCTAGCTACTCCTCGGCACCAGGATTGACATTTAAATTGGACAAAGAAGACTTTGTGCCACTACTTAGCAGATTATCTGATTTACTGGATACAAATTTTGCTTACTAAGAAGGGTGTATTATAACTAGTCTGCAACTGAGTGTTTGTTATTCTCTGGCCAGGATGAGGCAAATGATCACATGGGTTACTTTAATTGACAAAAACATTGCCAACACAACTACTATTAATGACTTGTCCTTAGAATTGAATCATTGGTTTCTCAGGACAGTTTAGTCAATGAACTGAATCACTGTGAATTTTACATGGGCCTTATGTAATGTATATGATTAGGGAAGTTGCTATAAACAGAGTCTTCCTATTTCTAAAGTCCAAGTTGCCTTCCTGGGACTAATAGGACCAGATAGAACTCAGGTAGTGAATTTCTTTTCTTGGTAGAGCTCAGATATTTTTCATGTTCGTTTTTTTGGTATTTGACCTCTAGCGTTTCTAGCTTTGTGCGTAAAACTACTGAGAAGATTGGCACCCTACACACGAGCCCTGATCTGAAAGTGAGACCAGAACCCAGGGATGGTGAACAGTCATGTGAAGAGGATGTGAGCCCAGTCACCTGCCCAAAGGAGGAAGACACTGAGTAAGCCCTTGCCTATAAATCTCTCTAGATTCTGGAGGAGCCAGCTGTCAGTTTGAAGTAATCCATAGACTGTGTTTTATTGAAGAAGATGCACATGTGGTCCTGTTCATTACGCAGCTCATAAAAATGGTAAATCCCACAAAATGTAGGAAAATCGCTTCAACTCACAGCAGATCTGTTGAAGAGAGTTTTAATGTAGCACTTTTCCCATCCTTGTCCTGCATAATCTCCCACTCCCATTGTTGGTGTTTTTGGATGTCAGAGAGGGGGTATTCGATGAAGAATGGGATGACCAAGGTCCTAGGCCTTGTTGTGGTTCTGCTTCTAACCAGCATGTGACTTTGGGTCTAGAAGATGAGAGCACTGGCGCTGGTGACATGCTGGTGGCACCGTTCTTATGCAGCAGAGTTGTAGCAGAGCCCTGTGTCTGGCACAGTGTGAAACATTGTTTCCTATGAATAGCATAGCTCAGGGAATGTGTGCAATACAGGCAAACAAGTTCAGTACCATCCAAGAATTGGGAAAGCTTCCTACAGACCCAAAGTACTTCAACAATCAGATGAAATAAGAAGTATGTCATCCTCAGATTGATTTAGGAAATCTACCATGTTTTTAGAAAAAAGGTATTCATTTATTATCGTGACATTTAAGGCAGCCTCATTCTGATCTTAGCCCATCTTCGCAGCCTCATTCTCAACCATTTATTTCTAAGTACTCTCCATTCCAGGCCTGTCAGCATTCTGGGCATGTACTCGATGACACCTCATTATCTTTGTTTCTTCTGTCAGGAGTATTCTTCCACCATTTTTTCCTAACACAAATACTTCCCCTTTAGGGACGTTTCCCTTGATTGCCTCGTCAGAATCATTATTTCTGTTGTGCTTCTATAGCACAGTGCTTGTGCTGCTCTCTAGCTCTTAATTGATTCTCTTTATATTATCATTAGGTGCTGGCATGCCTTTCTATCTGACTTGAGCTTTCTCTGACTTGAACTTGGACAGTTTTTATACTCAACTGTTTGTCTCATGTAGCATAAACAGTACATACCACAAAGTACATGCTTAGAAATATTTGTCTAAGAAAACTCTGATCTCTTCTAAGTTCCTTGTGAATATTATTTTTCTTTTTCATACTCTTCTAGGGAGAAACACGAGGTAACTAGCCAGCCTCCAGAAGAAGACTGGTTGCAAGAGCTTAAAGTAGCAACAACAGAGGCAATGTGAGTCTGAATGAGGAAGTGTCACAGTGGTCGAGAATGACTTTCAGAGACGGTTGGTAGAGGTCCTGAGACAGTCTGGGACAGAGATCTTCTAACTGAAACGGACATTCAAGCACTGGTGAAATACCACCAAATTGATACTCTCTGAAGTGTCATCTTGCTGTGATAATTGTTATGGAAAGAGTTGAAAACTAGTATGTATTCTAGATAATGTTGTATGGATTAGGATTGATTTAGCAAGAAATAATTTGTTTAAGAAAAACCCATAAAATGTAAGTTTTCTATTTTTCTGTCTTGGCATAGGATCACGCTGCAGGACCCACTGGTTTTATTTGAACCCAAGTCTCTGAGAATGGTTTTACAGGAGTGGCTTGTACAGTTAGAAAAAACTTTTTCGATGAAGGACTTTTCAGGCATTTCAGACACTAGCAAATTTTCTGTGAAATCCACCCAGGATGAGCTATTACTTGATGAGTCAAAAAGGGTAATAATAGATGATAATAGTGAAAAAGAAAAAAGGAACTCATTAACCAATGAAGAAACTGTTGATCAAACAGTGTTTGAATCTGTGAGTAGTTGGAGGAAACCCTTAGATGACCTTTTTAGAGTATATTCTCCCTGCATGATAGCAAATGGCTTTCAGAAGGACCTGGCTGAATTGACAACGTTTTGTTTGGAGTTGAATGTATTGACCTCTACGATCGAATGTACAAATGGACATGCAGACCACACTGTACAACGGTGCTCTCCTGAAATTCTGGCTTGTCAGTTCCTAAAGAAGTACTTTTTTCTCCTGGACTTGAAAAGAACAAAGGAGAGTATCAAGCTTAGTTACACTAACAGCCCATGTGTTTGGGATACTTTCATTGAAGGATTGAAAGGTAATAATCAGATTGCTTTACCAAGGACAGAAATTGGCAATTGCATCTTGGATTTCCTGGTGTTTAAAAAAAGATTTAAGTAGAAAATGACCTCTGTTCTAGTCAGTCCTTCATTCCACTTTCTACCCAAGTTAGTTGTTAATAGGTTTTTAAAATAATGATTTAATTTGTAACTATAATAAGTTTTATTTCAGAAAATGATATAGTGATGTTATAATGCAATGAGTTAGATATAATAGAAGTTTTATTTCTTGCTAATATATCAGAGCAAAATGTTCCAGGCCAATAGTAAGCTCGTTTCCTCATGGTAATTAATGACTCCTGGAGACTTCCATTTCTTAAACTTCATCATCGCTTTGGGTTTGTTTTCTAAGTAGAATTATTATGTCCAGGGGAAAGAGAATATAAGGGACAAACGTGCTCTGTTATAGAGCTAGTCTGGGAGCAGCTCGCATCTCTTCTGTTCACATTCTGCTGGTGAAGATTCCACCATATGGTCATACCTAACTACAGAGGAGGCTGGGAATTGTATCCTGTGCAGGAGTCCAGGAGGATTCTCAGACACTGTGGTGTACAACCAGCACACTCTACTTCAGATTTAAAGGTCACACTGTTTGTCATTCTGATATAGATACTGTCTTTCATATCCCAAAGACCTCTCTATTGTATAGTCCCATGTTTTTGAAGAGGTAAATCTTGTTAATTCAAAACCTACTGAGTAACAGATACCATGTTTCTGATTTAGATTTTTTTTTTAAATACTTGTTACTCATGACCAAAGTAAACAGATAGTGGTACATTTTTTTATATTCATCTGACTTAAAGATTTTTTAAATGTACAGAAATGTGGATCTATAGTTAGTATATATATTTACACACATATATTTACAATTCTGTTTCAGGTTACATTTAAGCAGTTAAAAGCATAGAAAATGATTTCATTTTCTTTTCCTGAGTTGAAGAGGTAGAGAAAGAAACAAGTTATTACTTTTCAAATAGGTTCAAATATTTACTATTATTATTCAATGGGAATTTTCTGTATCTGTCTCTACTGTGTGCTTATACCCAACTCTAATCCCAGGAGATAGCAAAGAAAAGACTCCATAAACCAGAGTGATTGTCGTTAACGTATGTGGTGGTCGGTTTGAGATGATGGACTGGTTGCTTGAATTTATGTGGGTACAGGATATTTTGGTTCCTGGTTTAGTTCCCACTCAATCATAAAGCCTTCCCTCTTTTTTCAAGTTCTAACTTAAAGTCTCTTCTTCCAATTTTTTATTTCCTGACATAGTTAAATGGGAGTCAATGACACTGATTGGGAAATTGAAACTTTAAAAAAGTTGAGAGATCAGACATTAAGAGTTAACTCTTTAAAAATTGTCTAACAATCTGTACTTCTAATGATATAACTATGGAAAACAGTTTTTGAGATCATTCTTTGGTATTTGTCTTCAGTGCTGAGTTTCAGAGTTGAGTACTTACTGAAAAATGAATTTTGTTACTTTAAGTTCTTTGTCTCTGTTTGTTGTTGTTGTTGTTTTTACTTCTAGTAGTTTTAACTAGGTCATTGCTCATTTCACTCACTACTTGAATTCAGTTGACTTTTTTTTTTAAGCTTTTATTAATTGAATGATAGTTTACATGGGAGGACATAGATTTTATATTTTTCCTATTGTGTTTTGTTTCATTGCATTGATTACAATCCCTCCATGCATCATCATTCAACAGTATTTGCTTCTGTTCCCTCTGTTTTTTGGGTTTTTTTGAATGTACACAAAAATACTCAGGAATATATACCTCAAAAAAGGGCACATTCTACAAGTCTGCCTCCTGGCCACCAGCACACAACCTTTCTCTTTCCATGAATACCAGAGTCCTCAGCTGCTTTATTTTTCCATGTCCTCATCTCTGTCTCCATCTCTGGTGTTGATGCTTCTGTGGATAGGGTTCTGCATTCTGCTTGTGCTCTTCTCCCTTGATGGTCCTAGGGTCCTCTGTTCCCAGACTAATCTACAGCCTCCTCAGATGCTTAGGTGTGTCAATTAACAGTTCCTTTGTCCTCTTAAAAATTTTCTGTATATTTTGCCCCCCATTTTATTTGAAAATCCTTAAAGGTAGAGATTGCATCTTGTTATTTTTTGCCCTCCTATAATGCTTAATATACTTTAGGCCTTGCTCTTACTAGGTATATGACTAATAGCTGTTGAATGAATGTGCAAATGAATATTTACAGCTAAGAGATGAAGGGAAAAGAAAATCCTTTATCTTTCAGAGATGGCAAGTTCCGATCCTGCATATAGGGCACTGGAAGAAGGAGATCTGCCAACAAGACTAAGGTTACTAGATGTCTCGGTGCCCGCTGATAGTCCTTTGTTGATTGCCTGTGTTACCCGGTAAGTTGTCCTGAAGGGTGGTTTATATGAACTACAGCACAGGCATTTTTTAAAATCTTACTCTTTTTTTTACTCATTTGTATGTTGGGCTGCTTTTTTCCCTTGTTTTAGTGTATTTTCACGTCAAAGAAGTATTTTGTGTGAACAAGTAACATCATCTCACTGCAATTAGATGGATACTAAGGTGTTTTGTTTTTATATGCAGGTTGTATGAGATGTTTGGGGAACCTGCCCTTCGATCCTTAATCAGGTTTTACCCATCTATTTTGCCTTCGGATATCATTCACCTTTGTCATAATCATCCTGCTCAATTTTTGGCCTATTTAGACAGTCTGGTGAAATCGAGGCCTGAAGATCAGAGGTGAGAAAGAGTATATTTGCAGACTTTTCTCTTTCTTTGGAGAGAACATTAGTTTTCTTTTATAAGTAATTTAACATTTTTTACTCTTCACAACCACAAGGGTGGGACATTTGGGTGGCATTGCATCATCTTTCCAAAGTCTCCGTACACACCATAAGCATACACAGACTACACTTCCTTTCTATCCCTCCTCCTCAGGGATTCTCAGATCATCAATAATTTAAAATTAAACCCTTACCTAAAGCCTAGGCTGAACAAATCTTGTATATCTGCCAGTGAGTGAAGTTATACTTTTACATTTTTATTAATGATAGCTCTTTGTGAGTGGATCTCGTGCCAACTCTTCACGTCTTTTTAGGCTGAGACCTCATTTCCTATCCCTACACAGCTTTGAACACCCTTGATTTTTAAGTGCTCCTTGTTTATTGAAACTGGTAACTTGCCTCTGTCTCTTTCTTTGATGGTTCATATTTGCCGTACTGCCTTTTATCCTCTCTCCTTACCTTTTTTTTGGTGTGTGTATGTCCTTTGGCATTTTCCTCATTATGTAGAGGTACAAACTATGCATTTAAATGACTATTATTTTTTTCATCATCATATCCAGACATTTTGTACCAGCAAGGTTTTCTAGTTATTTTATCAACTATTTTGATCCTGTAACAAAATTTTCTTCACTTACCCACACTTTATGTTTTCTTTCTCATATCAATATTGCTGTTACTTCTCATCTTTCTTTCAGGCCTACTTTTCTTGAGTCTCTTTTACAACCAGAGTCTTTGAGATTGGATTGGCTGCATCTGGCAGTATCCCACGAGGCTCCACCAAGCACAAGCACTATGGATGATGAAGGATACCCCAGGTATGGAAGAGTCTTTTCACTAAGCTCCAAAATTTGCAGGAAATGGAAATGGTTTATTCACATATAATATTCTAGGCTTACTTTTAAGAATTGCTATGGAACAGACTGACCCAAGTCACGGTAGTAATGACACTGATTTTGCTGCTTCATGGTTTCGGGTTACAGATTGTTTGAGAATCTGATGATTTTCATCTCAGAAGGTTGCATATTCTTGGAAAACTTAGCACATGCTAAGTTCTTCCATGGAACCACATTAAGAACCTCTGATTGGTTGACTTAGTTTAAAGGGAGAAAACACTGTGTTTTCTCCCTAGACATTTTGTCCAGAGATTATGAGCATAGCCTTC